GCCCCCCAGCCGCTGCGCCTGAGGCTGCCAGCTGGTCCGCAGCATGGGTACACCCGGCACAATGCCGGTGCGCGCCTCCCCGCCGCCCGAATAGAGCGCTTGCCGCGGGGGCTTTAGTGCGGGGTTGCAGGGCCCTGTCCCAAGATACAAAAATGATGGAGTCTAAATTAGCTGTTACCACTCAAGAAAGAGATCTTGAAATTATTGTGGATAGTTGCCTGAAAACATATGCACAATGTGCAGTGGAAGTCTAAAAACTAAGGCCATGTCTACACTAGGAGATTATTTTGAATTTACTGACTTTAACTTCTGGGCACCCAGTTTTACAAATTCGAAGTTCTGTGTCTTCACTGCGGGGAAGAATTGAATGTCGTCCGAGGCAGGTTCTGATAATGTGGACATGCTACTTCAAACTCAGAACCCCAGGAAGCACTCTGGGGAGCTGCGGGAGGCCTCCGGAGGCCAATAAATTTGAATTAGCAGCACCGGAGCATCCGCACTCACATTATTTAGGACTTACAAGTTCAGGAATAGCGTTACTCCTCATGAAATGCAGGAGTACAGAGTCTGAATTCCATGGCCCTTTATTCCGGAATAACAGGCTTGGTAGTGTGGATGCATTGCTTACAAATTTGATCTTGGGGAATTATTTTGGACTAAGATCCTAGTGTAGACCAGGCCTCACAGAATATAGGGAATCATTAGGAAAGGAATAGATAATAAGACTGAAAATATCATATTGCTTCTATATAAAGTCATGGTATGCCCACATCTTGAATACTTCATGCCGATCTGCTCACTCCATCTAAAACAAAAAGATCTATTGGATTTGGAAAAGGTACAGAAAAGGCAACAGAAATTATGAGGGGTAAGAAACAGCTTCCATAAGAGGAGAGATTAACAAGAATGGGACTTTTCAGCTTGGAGAAGAAATGACTAAAGGGTGTGGGGAGGGGGATTTGTTAGAGATCTAGGAAATCATTAATGTTGTAGAGAAATAGAATAAGGATATGTTATTCATTCCTTTACTAACATAACACAAGAAGCTGACCCAATTAAATTTATAGGCAGCAGATTTAAAACAAACAAAAAAAAGTATTTTTTCACAGTCAACCTGTGGAACTCTTTGCCAGGAGATAATGGAAAGGCCCAAATTATACCAGGGTTCCAATAAGAACAAAATAAGTTCAAGGAGTGGCTGCTCCATCTCACCAGAATGGGCAGGGATGGTGTCCCAGCCTCTGTTTGGCAAAAGCTGGGAACTGGCGACAGAGAAAGGATCAATTGATGATGCCTCTTCTGCTCATGCCTTCCGAAGCATCTGGCATTGGCCAGACAGAACACTGGGCTAGATGGGCCATTGGTCTGATCTTATATAGAGCCCAAATGTACCTGCCCCCTGCTGTAACCCCACTGCACTGCCAGAGCTGAGGGCGAGCCCAAGAGTCCTGACTGTGTCTCTCTCAGCAGTTAGTAACAAAGTAAGACTGAATGTTACAATGTTGAGGCTGACCAGGGTCCTTAAGGGACTTGCCACAAGATGTCAGAAAGTGTTGGTATAGAGCTGAGTGAGTCTGATATTTATTTCATTTTCTTTCTTTTACATAGGAATTAGATACAAGGCTTCTGCCAGCTATTCGCTAAGTTAGCTGCCAGAAAAACTAGAATTTCCCCATCTTAGTAGCCTTAGAAAAAGGTGATATGTGTGTGGATCAGTCCCCCTCCAAATTTGCTGCTTAGCTAGTACTGAGCATGCTCAATAACACTGCTGAAGCTGCTGTCCTCAGTCTGCCCCCCATGCTCTCACTTTCTCTTACCCATCACAATATGCATAGGTTTCTTCCCCAACCAAAATCTGAAATGATTCCTCTGTCCTCACTCCCACTCCGCAATGCCCCCCACTCCCAACCTGCAGCTCCATGGTGCCCCTCCCTCCTGACCCACAGCCCTGCAGTGCCCCTCCCTCACCACATGCAGCCCCCTGCCCATAGTGCCCTTCTCTCCCGGCCTGCATCCCCACTGTGCCCCTCACTCCTGCCCCATAGCCTCCTGCCCATGGTGCCCTCACTCCTGCAGCACTACCCACTTCTGCCCTGCAGCTTGCAGCCTGTGAAGCCCCTCACTCCCAGCCTGCAGCTCCCAGTGCCACTTAGTCCTGAATCGCAGCCCCCTGCCCAAAGAGCCCCCCCCATTCCCAACCTAACTACTGTCTTTCCCTGCAGCCATGGCCTGCCCAGCCCATACCACCTACCAGCCCTGCATGACGGCCTGTCCTGCCAGCTGTGCCCACCTGGCTGCACCCTCAACCTGCGATGCTCTCTGTGTGGAGGGCTGTGCCAGCGACCCCGGTTATGTGCTTAGCAATCTGGACAGCGTCCCCTACAACCAGTGCGGATGCAGCCATGATGGCCAGTACTACCCGGTGTGCCAGATGCTTGGGTCCCTGCCCAGATACCTGGGTTCTCTGCTTTGATCTGGGAGGAGAGTGGGGGCTGGTGGTTAGAGCAGGGGGCGGGGGCCATGACTCTGGGTTCTGTCTCTGGTACTGGGAGGGAAGTAGGAGTGGGAGTGCAGGAGCGGGGGTGGTTTGTGAGCCAGGACGCCTGGGTTCTATGCAGTTGCTGACTCTCTCCTACCCCACCCCAGATCAACCAGACATTCCTGACGACTGACTGCACCCAGGCACCTTGCAATGCGAGCCCGCCCCCCGCTGCCTTGCGCCGGATATCTGCACTCTCGCCAACTATACCTGGGGCTGCTACCGTGGTGAGAGGGCAGCCAGGGGCCCAGCACATCTATGCAGAGCTGGGGAATCACCCCTGGCTGAGAACTGCACAGAAGCCATGATACATGCCATGGCTGCATCTTGGTTTGGCTGTGGGGAGTAGGTTAGAGGAGGGCGGCTGGGAGCCAGGACTCCTGGGTTCGCTCCCTAGCTCTTGGAGGGAAATGGGGGCTGGGATGGCTGGCACTCACTCGCCTGTGTCTCTCCAGCCAGCCCGTGTCTCAGCAGCCCGTGCCAGAACGAGGGCTGGTGCCGGGAGACGGACGGCGGGTTCACCTGTGACTGTGCCGAGGGCTACGAAGGACAAGAGTGCGAGCGTGTGACGCCTGAAGTGCCCCCTGAGAGCCTTCCCCCGCCAGGTACAGGACTGCCACAGCCCTGCTTGCCAGTGAAGAGCGCCCCCTGCTGAGTACCCAGCCCCCCCAGTTTCCCTAGTGCCACTCTGGGGCCAGCCCTGCATGTCAAGGGAGAGTACCACCTGCTGAGCCCCATCCTGCTCCCTGCCCCACAGCGCCCCCTAGCGCCTCTCTGGGGCCTGTCCTGCAGCCCAGGGGAAAGCAACCCCTGCTGAGCCCCACCCCGCTCCCTGCCCCCAGTTCCTCTAGTGCCACTCCTGAGGCCAGCCCTGCCGCCCAAGGGACAGCGACCCCTGCTGAGCCCTGCACCCCACACTCTGCTCAGCTTTGTCTTACCTCTGCCCACAGATAACCTCACCGCCATCCTTGTGGGAGTCCTTGTACCATTGGGGCTGATCCTCGTCCTGGTCACTGGAGTCTGCCTCTACCGCCAGAGACGGAGGTGAGATTTCAGGGGGTCAGGGAATGGGGCACGGGCATGTCCCCTCTTGGGGGTGCTGGCTCCCACCCAGCCCCAGGGCAGGGACTGGCATGCTCAGGGGGGCGGGGAATGGGTCTCATTGGGGAAGCCCCAGCTGGCGTATCCCCTATTCAGTACCTAATCCTGCCATTTCCCCTGCAGAGGGAAGACTCGTCTAGGAGACAGAAGCAGCATCCTAATGCCAACACCCCTGGGTAAGATGGAGGTGGGGGGGAGTCATGTGGAAGGGCGGGAAAGTTGGGGAAAGAAACCAGCTGCCTCCCTAACTCCCCCTAGAGGCATCTCATGAGAAACAGGATTCATCACTTCCTGTCCCAAACTGCTGGTAACTAGCTGCTCTGCCAACGAGGTGGCTGCATCTCAGAGGGTGGGTGCCAGGCAAAGGACGTGAATGTGACTCTTTCTCTGTCTCTCTCTCTCTCTCTCTCTCTTGTAGCCAACATCCGCATCACCCAGTTCTGAGGCCAGTACCTGCCTCACGCCAGCCCAGCCTGTCACCCAGGGCAGGGCAGTAGCACTTGGCTGGCCCCACCTGAGATCTACCACCAGATGGGCCTGTCCTGTGACTGCGGGTGCCTCCCAGAGCCAAACTCAGTGTAGTTCCCCCTCCCGCCGCCACCGTCTGGGAGACGCACAACGGTCTTGGGAGGAGAATAAATTTCCACTTCTACTACCTGGCCTTGGTTCTTGTGTTTACTGCTCTGTCAACCTCCGACTGTCCACCATGATGCTTGGGTCTCATCCCCACCTCTGGGAGGGGAGTGAGGGCTGGTGGGTTAGAGCTGGGAGCCAGGACTCCTGGATTCTCTCCCAGCCTCTGGTAGGGAAATGCAGGTTGGGACTGACTGAGGCTCGGGGGGCTCTGTCTCCCATTTCCCTCTAAAACTGCCGCTTTCCAATAAGCACCAGCCCTGAATCAGGACTCAGCTTGGGGCTGGGCCCAGAGATAGCACTGAACAGGACCTTGTAGGAGGCACCGGCCCCTGGGGGGCCTGACTGCGGGGTGGGAGGGAGCCCTGGGGCCTTTTACGTCTGACGTCAGCCTGGTGGCTGGTGAATAGGGGGTTGGCCAGGGAACTCCGCATGGGTGGTAGGAATCTTTGTGTCTTTGTCTCCCTGGGTAGCCCCTAGCTGCTCCCACCCCCAACTTGATCTCAGGGATGGGGGCTGGCCTAGTTTTATTTTTAGCCTGGCCTTTTGAGGGGTGGGTGGGGCCAGGTCATGGCCTCCCTGAGCCTGCGTCAGTGCATGACATCTGGTTGGCAAGCCAGGGGCCCTACTGAATAGCTCGCTAAGCACAGGAACACAGGAGTCCGGGCTTTTTCCCTTCCCCTAGGCCAGGTCAGGAGAGGGGGAATCACCAGGCTCAGATAGTGGGGTGTCCCAAATGGAGATGCAGGAGGCCATGTGGGGTTCCTCTGGGCACCCCCCTTCTCTGAGGCTTGGCTGCACTACCCCTTCCCCCCACCTGCCAACACCCAAGGTAGGGACAGACATTGGTAGCACCAGTATGGGGCTGCCCCACAGATGAGCTGCCATCTGGCCACCCCAGAGCAGCAGCTGAGACATGTGGGCACGCTATGGCTCTGTGTGGCACTAGAAGTGGCCTGTGAACCAGCCTCCTCCAGAGCCAGGCCTCCAGGGGCGAGTGCAGGGCAGCAAGCGACCAGTACTGCCTGGACGTGAGAAAGGGTGGGAGGGAGCCCAGGAGGGAACCTAGGGCCAGGAGCATCCTGCTTGGGACAGGAAACCAAGTGCAAGCAAAGTGAGGAATGGAGAAAAGTGGAGGAGGCAGACACAGGCGGGGCACTGAAGGGGGCACTAAAGAAAAGGGGAGGCAGACACAGAAGAAAAGGGGTGGGAGGAGGCAGGCAGGGGAATCTGAAGAAAAGGGTTGGGGAGGCAGACACAGGAGGGGGCACTGAAGAAAAAGGAGTGAGGGAGGATGCAGACACAGCTGTGGGCACAGAGAAAAAAGGGGAAGGGGGCAGACACAGGGTGGGCACTGAAAAAAGGGGAAGGGGGCAGA